GGAGATTAACCTGCCTCTGCCTCTAAAGTACTGGGATTAAAGGTGTGCTTCCCTGGCCCTCACCCCATTTTCATCTGCCTTACCTAGACTGAACCCTACACTTTGATGGAGCAGTAAGGATGATGGATAAAGGCAGTTTTCTGGTTCTGAGAGTCTGGCTCACTTCCTGAACAAGCCATTTGGTACAATGTCATTCCTGTCACCTGTTCTGCAGTGTCAGGGGTACCTGGGATGTGTGTGTGGTCGGAGCACCTGTGTATGGACACAGGTTGAGGGCTCTGCCTATCTTTTTAAAAGAGAACACGTGGAGGAAAGCAATTAGATAAGGTTAAAGGGGAGGGACAAAGGCAAATTTCTTGGCTTCAAGATTGGAAGGTAGATAGTGACATCCACAAAAGGGACAAGGGGGTAGCCCAGTCTGTATAGAGAAGGGCAGTTTTCCTCAGGCTGGGTCTGTGAACTTATGATACATTGAAGGAACCAACAGCCACATGGAGGTCTAAAGCTCAGAAGTCAGAAGAAACTCAGAAATAGGGTGAACTCCTCCTGTAAGGCCAGGAGTGGAGATGTGGGGAAGGTGTGGGCATAACTTGTCACCAGGGTCCCCAACACTTGGAGGGGCTTCTGAATAGGGTTATGGCTCCCAGAACCAAGGGGACAGCATGCCCCAAGGACGCCAGCAGCCTCAGCCCTCAGACTCCTGTTGAGGGATGGCAGTATCCAGTTGTGGACACAACAGGTTCTGTGAAGTAGCAGGAGACAGGTGAAGGTTAGCACTGAGGAAACGGGGAACACAGGTGATTTGAGGGGCTGCAAGAGAAAGAGGACAGAGCTGGCTATTTGCCAGTTTATCACCTACTTCCCAGTTGCTCTCTTATCTGTATCCATCAGTAGGAATGCTAAACAGTACCTTTCCAAACTTCCTCACTATGATGGATGGCCCTGTGACTCATTCTTGGCCAACAAATCACAATTGGGTATGTGATAAAGGCTTCTGGGAAGGCCTTTATTTGAAATATCAAGACAGATGTGAGTATTGACCTGCCATATATTCCTACTTCTTCCAGTGGTGATTACAGATGCAATGGCTGGAGCTTTGGCAGTCTGCTCAGAACCAAGAGAAAAATGCAGAAACGCAGCATCACCTCCAACATAAATGAGTACTGAAATCTTATCTCAACTACCGTAAAGTTATACAAAAGTCTAACTTTATTACTTTCTAAATGCAACATACCTAGTTTTGTTACCTTTGTTCTGGTAATTGTAATATTCGTCCCATGTCTGATATTTCCCCATACCATTTATTTGTTTGTTTATTTGATTTTTGAGACAGAGTTTTTCTGTGTAGCCCTGGCCTTCCTGGACCAGCTGGCCTCAAACCCAGAGATATGCCTGTTTCTGGCCCCCAAGTGCTGGGGTTAAAGGTGTGTACCACCACCACCAGCTCATTTCGAGTATGCTACTATTTCATAGTCTAGCCCAAAGTCAGCCAGCTGATCTTCCTTTTCTTAGCCATGTTCATGAAACACTACCAGCCAAGACACATGGGCCAAGCTATAACAGCTGAGCTACTGTGAAGTCAGACTTGACAAGGGAAATAGGAAGCCAACTCCAGAGGGAAATGAGAGTGCAGAGACCCAAAACTCAGGACATCAACAGTGTCTTGTAGAACCCTTAGAGATTAACAAAAAGGCTGATCCAAAGTATCCTGGAAGCCAGACTCCAAAGGAGATGCCATCAGTTTTGGAGTTCTTAGATAAGAAGGAATACAAATGTGAGACGCTGTGATGGCCGTGGGTTCTAAAGCTGGACAATTCCCACACAGTGGCAAGAACTGCTGTTAAATGTTACCAAGATGACTGTTCAAAGCAGTATACTGACAGGCAATTGTTCTGTTCAACTAAAACATTTCAGGGACACAGGCATTTGATTATAGCTGAGTTGTGCACTTTCTATAATTTGTTTCCTTTTAGGTTAAGTGGGTTCCCTCATTCTCTGAGAAACCAGAGGTAACAATAGATGTTCTTTTTTTCAGGAACTGCATGGACAAAGGTTGAAGGCTCCCCCTCCTTTATAAAAAGAGAACATGTGGAGGAAAACAACTAGATAAGGTTCCAGTTTTCTGTGAATATTAAAGTGGTCATTAGAATATCTTGCTTTGGGGGGCTGGAGAGATGGCTCAGCAGTTAAGAGCACTGGCTACTCCTCCAGAGGTTCTGAGTTCATTTCCCAGCAACCACAGCAACCCATTTATAATGGGTCTGATGCTCTCTTTTGACATGCAAGGAATATGTTCAGACAGAGCACTCACACACACATAAATCTCAAAAATATATAACTTGGGCTGGAGAGATGGCTCAGAGGTTGGTTGCTCTTCCAGAGGTCCTGAGTTCAATTCCCAGCAACTATATGGTGGCTGGTAATCTAAGATGAGACCTGGTGCCCTCTTCTAGTGTGCAAGTATACATGCAGTAAGAACACTGTATATACAATAAATAAATATCTTTAAAAAAATATATAACTTGCTTTATAAAAAGTCTAGCTTTTCCTAGCATTAACAACTGAGAGGAAAGCTTTCCAATAATCCTCTTGCATCGACCTCATTCGATGTGTAAGGAGGGGGGGGAGAAGCTTTGAGAACAATGGGCATCACATGACCTAATGGAGTGCCCTCTTAGCAGAGCCTCAGGGATATTAGTGGCTTAATACCAAACTGGAAGACCATATCAAAGCAAGGAGGGTGGACTGAACAGGAACAAAATTTAAGTTATTCAAGTAACAAACAAAAGACTAAGAAATAGTACAACTAAAAGATTTAAGGAAAAAGCTGGGTGTGGCCGTACGTCTTTAATTCCAGCATTGAGGGAGGCAGAGGCAGTCAGATCTCTGTGAGTTCAAGACCAGCCTGGTCTACAAAGTGAGTCCAGGACAGCCAAGACTACACAGAGAAACCCTGTCTTAAAACTAAAGGGGGAAAAAAGCTTTAAGAAATAAACCAAAGACCCCCTGCTCAGATGTAGCCCACAGGCAGCTTAGTCTCCATGGGAGTAGGGGCTGTCTCTGACATGAACTCAGTTGCTGCTCTTTGATCACTTCCGTCTGCCAGGGTGACCTTGCCAGCCCACACAGGAAGAGGATCCAGGCTGTCCTAATTAAACTTGATAGGGTAGGGTCAGATAGTAGGGGAGGAGGACTTCCCCTTTCAGTGGACTAGGGAAGGGGGATAGGGGCGGAAGATGGAGGAAGGGTGGGACCAGGAGGAGATGAGGGAGGGGGCTACAATTGTGATATAAAGTGAACAAATAAATACATACATACAGATAGATATAAACATCAACATGGCAAACCCCCAAAAGGATGGCTCAGTGTGATTATGCAAATAGCTTTGTCCCTGTAGACCAGGGTTATGGTTATATATACTTAACGTCTTAGCCTTTTAGAAATATATTCAGAGAGATGAACAAAAAGGCTTTCTGGAGTGGATGTGAAAACAATCCAAGGAAGGACAGACGTGGAGGTGTGTGGAAGACCCAATGAAACATATCATTCACCATTTAGAACATCCACTGTAAACACTAAAAGATTATACAGAAAGATAAAGATATTCTTCACCCCAAATATAAATATTTCAAAATGGTAAAAGATTTACTAAACACTAATACATAACTAATGACTCTATTTGTTAAGAACAAACTCACATGATTGTAAATACATACAGCTTTGTTTAATGAATTTATAGCTTAGAAAAGGAGGGCTATTATTTGTGTCTCTGGTACTGGGGACTGAACTTAGGGCCTTCTACATGCTAGGCAAGTGTTCTACTACTGAGCTACACTTCAACCCTCTGGGTTGAGTTTATATCAGAGCTTCTCCACATTGGTATTATTGATATTTGGGGCTTGAAAATTCGTTGAGAGCTGCCCTGGGCAGTAAGTATGTTGAACATTCTTGGCATCCACCTGGATACCAGTAGCATCTTTTCAGTCACAGTGACAAAAATGTCTAGACATTACCAAATGTCCTCTGAGGACAAATTATTACAGCAACCCTAGATATTTCAAGATAGTAGTTTTCATATGAGCTGTGATTCCTTTAGAGAATGCTGCAAAATTCTGTGGCTGCTTCTCTGTCAGATGACTTAGTGAAAGGAGGACAGGAGCCAAGCATGCTGCAGTGACTGTGAGGCGCAGAACTGAGCCATGCATCACGTAACTTATGTTATACGTGAACTGGGATTCTGACTTGAATTCACATAAAAACACATTACTTTGTATATATTTGGAATTTAGGCAGCGTTTTCCACAAATGCAATAGTATTTTGATTTGTTTAAGGCTTTCCTATGAATGCATCATTATTCTGTAAATAATGTTGGCACAATAATGTCTCTTATGGTGCTATGTAGACAGCAGTGTACCCTGCACCAGTCTGTAAGTTACAGGCTATTGACCATGATCTCCTGGCGAAAATGTTGCCAGGACATGGCAAGCTACCACAATGACTCAGTATGTGTTATTCTATTATAAATTACTTTAACTATCCTTTACAAAAAGGAGTCATATGTGATTTCCACACTATGCCTGTGTAGGTTTTATTACTGGTAAACTCATTTTGGGGTAGTGGAGAAGACATCTTAAAATGTCTGTTGTTGCTGAGTATAGTGGCATATGGCCATGTTCCCAAATTAGGGAGGTGAAGGCAGAGGATCAGAAAATTCAAAGTCATTCTTGGATACATGGTGAACTCAAGGCCAGCCTGGGCCATATGAGACCCTGTCTTAGAAAAGCAAAGAAAAAGTCTGTTGTTAAATGGGAACTGAGTTTGATACATTTGAGAAGCACCAACCAACCTTAACTGTTTGAGAGGCACTACTTCCTTACGAAGTCAGAGGTCACCACTGACATTATGCCATCTTCTCTTGCCACCATTATACACTGCGTGGACTTATGTTTGTACCTGGTAACTCAAAAGTTATCTGAAGAGTTATCTTTCTATGTAGATTCTCTGATGTCAAAAAGCATGGGATTGCCCATTGCAGGTTCTTCTACCCCAATAACATGCACAGGGGTTTTCTCATGCACAATTTCATGAAGGTCAAACAAGGCCAGGGCTCTGCTTGCTTGCTCTGCCTTTGCCTCGGCCATGGGAAGCTCACTTGAATTTGAGTATGCATTCTGAAGGAGTTTTGGGCCCCATCTGCAAGGCTGTTCTCGTCTTCGGCTATGTCCATGTGTTCCTTCCTCTCTGTTGTGGGTTATCTGATGTCGGATGAGGTGAGAACTTTGAACGAAACATTTTCCACACTGACTACATTTAAAGGGCCTATCGCTCTGCTGAATCCTTTCATCTTGACTCAATGGTGGGTCACAGCTGAGGGGTTCTGTCCACTCGAGCTTTGTTAAAGCTGTTGTCTGCTCAAAGATCAACCTCTGTTGGCACTCATACGGTTTCTCACCAGCATGCTTCCGCTGATGCTGGGTCAGGGAGGAACTGTGCCTGAAGCCCTTTCCACAGTGATTACACTCATATGGCCTCTCCTCAGTATGAGTCCGAAGGTGCAGGAAGAGACAAGTAGTTCGGGAGAAAGATTTCCCACAAACACTGCAGCTATATGGCTTCTCCCCAGTGTGTGTCCTCTTGTGTCGCCCTAGGGATGAATTCTGATTGAAGGCCCTCCCACAGTCCTGACACTCATAGGGTTTCTCTCCAGTATGAATTCTCCTATGGACTGTAAGGTGTGTACTGTGGCAAAAAGATTTTCCACATTCATCACACTTATAGGGCTTGTCTCCAGTGTGGATTCGCTCATGTTGAACAAGGGAGGAGTTTTGGCTGAAGGCTTTCCCACACTCTTTGCACATATAAGGTCTCTCTCCTGTATGAATTCTCTTGTGTACTGTGAGATGTGCATTATGGTTAAATGACTTCCCACAATCAGTACATTTATAGGGCTTATCTTGCACCTGACTTTTTGCTAGTTCTTTAATGGGTATAATCTGATTAAAGTCTTTTTGACAGCCATTGTCATCAAAGGGCTGTGTTGCTGTGGAGTCTGTCTGTTGACTAACTAAGCTTGGTTTATGTTCTGAATTTTTAACTTGTGAGCCATAAGTATAGGCATAGTCTCTTCCAGAAATATCTGGGAATAGATCTCTGTTCAAGCTGGGAATACAGGTTTCCCCAAGTCCAAGACTTTCATTGCTTTGACTATGAACTGGCATCTCTTTGGGGCCTTTCAATAGCCCTAAGTTACTCTGGTCCTTCTTGAGTGCCTGCCTCAGGCCATCACTTTCCCAATCTATTCCTGTCATGGAATGACAAGTAATAGTCCTTGCAAGCACATCCCTTTCTGTAATGGGAGATGGTTCCTTTTTAGGGAGGCCCTGCTCCTTGAGTAATGTATGGTCTTCAGGTCCAAGAATATAGCCTGAAAGAAAAACAAAGAGCTCTGACTGAGTTGTTAAGGGAAAACAAGGAGAGAGGCAGATTTCAATACCCTGGAACTTTGTTACTAATCTATGATCTTAACAACCTGCCTTGGTAAGTTCTGATTCTCCTCTTGACGATAACTATTCCTGTCCCCATCATAGTTTACTCCTGGGCCAGGCATTGGAAATGAAACAAACATTTACTAGTTTCTTGCAGGATTGCTGTTAAAACTTACCACAAACCTAGTGCCCCAAAGTAACAATGCTTTCCATTTTACAATGTGAAGTTCTAATGTCCAGATGTCAGCAGGGCTGGTTTTTCTTGGAAGCTCCATAGAAGAACCTATGGGGATCAGTAGTGTAGCATGTTCAAATCTCTCTCTTAGTGACTTCTGCTTCTGTTGTCATATACCCTTTTCTTGCTATAACCCTCTTGCTTCTCATAATTACTCTTATGATTACATTGGGCCCACCTGATAGCTATTTCTAAGGATTAGTAATTAGACTTCATTGAGTACCATGCTTTGCTTCATTGTCCACCATTAACATGCATGCAGGAGCCCACTGAGGTCAGAGAGGGCACTGGATCCCTAAAACTGGAGTTATAGGTGGTTGTGAGCCAACCTGTGGGTGTTGGGAACAGAAGAACCCAGGTCCTCTGCAAGAGCAGTATGTGCTCAACTGCTGACCCATCTTTCCAGCCCCACCCTTAGCATCTTGAGGCCTCTCCCCTGCTTAAGACTCACCCATGACACACATGAATGTGTTCATTTGTTCATTCATTCATTCATTATCACTCATCATATGACTGTCCAGTCACTGCCTAGAACTGACAGGTGCTAAATATTAAAAAAAAAAAAATCTGTCTCAGTGAATGTTGGAAGAATTCAAGAGAAAATCAAGAGTCTGGCCACAGGAGAAGAGCTGGAGAAGCTGGGAGTAGTTGGGTACTAAGCCTTTTGCTGCCTCTGCACAGCATACAGAGGGGATTAATCAAATGGGAGTCATTCCATCAAAAGTATATTGAAGATAATATGCTCATATTTTATGAAGATGTTCTTAATATAAAACAGAACCATGTACACTAGACATACAAAGGGGAAAAAAAAAACAGAAAACAAGCAATAGCAACATTAACAACTTATATTCATTTATGTCCACAGTAGCACTATTCTTTTATTTTTGTTTTTCAAGACAGGGTTTCTCTGTGTAGCCTTGGTTGTCCTGGATTTGCTTTGTAGATCAGGCTGGCCTCTACCTGATCCAGCTGCCTCTGTCTTCTGAGTGCTGGAACTACAGGAGTGTGCCACCGAGCCTGGCTAGTAGCACTATTCTTAATAGCCTCAAAGTGAAAACAACCCAAATGCCCATCAACTGCTGAATGGAAAAATGAAACAAGAGTGTAAGGAGTATAGCTCAGTGGTATAGTCCTTGTCTAGCATGTATGAGGCCCTAGGTACTGTTCCCAAAGAAGTGCAACAAACAAACCAACAAACAGTGAAATTATTTAGTGAAATATTTAGTCATAAAAAAGAATGAAGTGAATTCACACAACACAGAGGAACTTTGAAAAAATTATGCTAAGTAAAAGAAGCCTGACACAAATGTCACAGACTAAGCATCTACTGATTAATAACAGTCCCAGAGCAGAGCACAGTGGTGCATGCCTGTAATCCCAGCACTGTGGAAGGCAAAGGCAGGCTATGAGCTTGAGGCCAGCGTGGTTTACAAAGTGAGTCCAGGATAGCAAAGGCTGAGAAACCCTGTCTCAAAAAAACAAAACCAAAACCAAAACTAAAACCAAAACCAAAACCAAAACCCAACAAAAGGTCCCAAACAGGCAAATCCATAGACAATCCAAATGAGTTATTGTCAAGATGTAGGGAAGATGGGTGGTGATTGCTAATAGGCAACTTTTGTGGTAACAGCTAAGGCCTGAATGTTTGTGTTCTCCTAAAAGTTGTATGTTTTAGTCCTAATTCCTGTTTTGATGATGTTTAGAATTGGGCCTCTGGGAAGTATTAGGCCATGAAGGCAGAATCCTCTTCTCAGGCATATTTTTTTTTCAACCATCATTTAATAATGTTATTTATTTCTCATCCCTGAGTGAGGGCTCATGTCTGTCCAGATGTCTTATTCTCTGCTACATTCATAGCATCAAAAGCATTATGTGAGTGAGTCCTCAGGAATGTCTGCTAAATGGTCTTCTGAGCTGATAATCTGTTCAGCCTCAGGGCAAACCCTGATCCAGACCAATTGGAAGGGGGCTGAAGAAGACAGAGACCTCAGGCCACTATCGGAGGGCTGAGCTGGTATAACCAGGTCAGGCCAGCAACAGTTGAAAGTATCTATAAATTCAGATGGGGTCTCCTAGGTCAAACCACCCCTCACCCTAAACTACTGAGCCTGCTGTTTAGGAAGCCATAGTGTCTCCAGAAAGAAAGTGTAATGAGAGGAAATGAGAGCAGGATTGAGATTACAGAACACCAGGTAAGGTCAAGTAACTATAGGAGGGAAACAGTAAGGAATAAACCAAGATGCAGCAGGCAGAGGGGTTCACCCCCACTGGTTACCTAGCCTACCAAAGCACATGGCTGCACTGGGAGAAGGTCTGCCTGGATGAGCACTCTTTTCCTTTAAAACAAAAGAAAAAATGCTTTCTTGTTGAATAAAGTGTGTGGTAAATTGAATGATGGCTCCTCAAGGATCACCACATCCTAGTCCTTGAACCCTATAAATGTGTGATATTACATGGCAAAGAGGAGAGTGTAAATATAATTAAAAGTTTTTAAAATTAAGATTTACCTTTATTTTTTTATTTTTATTTATGTGCATGTATGTGACTATACAGCAGATGAATCAGGAGCCCAAGGACAGAAAAAGGCATCAGATACTGGGAAGCTAGAATTACAAGTAGTTGTTAACCACGTGACATATAGCTAGAAACCAAATCTAGGTTTTTATTCTTTTATTTTCATTTTTCAAGAAAAGAAAAAAAAAAAGTGCTCTTAACTGGTGAGCCATTTCTCCAGGCCCAAATTAAGAATCTTAAAAGTGTGTGATTATCTTGGGATTTTCAATATGACTGAGAGGCTCTGGCAGGTGAGCCAGTCAGAGAAGAATATGTGACGATGGGAACAGCTGAGTGATATAATCTGAAGAAGGTCCCACGAGCCATGGTGTATGGGTAGCCTCTCCGCACTGGAGACAAGGAAATCGAACTTCTCCTGGAACTGCCAGAAGAAGTCAGCCCTGATGAACCACTTTGGACTCCAACTAACTTCCACAAATTGTGAGAAAATACATAAATAAATCCGTGGTGTTTCTTTCTTTTTGTTGTTGTTGCTTGTTTGTTTTTTAAACAGGGTTTTGCAGTGCAGCTGAGGCTCTCCTGCAGGGTGCTTTGGATTATAGGAATTCACCATCACAACCAGCCAAATCTGTTTTTTTTTTTTCCTGTTACTTTGCCACAGCACTTTGGTACAGTAGCAGTAGAGCAACTATACAGAGTATTAATGCAAAGTATATTTCCATTTTAATAGGATGTTCAGGAGGCCTTTTGCTTCTAGAACATTTATGGTCCAGCTATTAAGTTCTTAAAAGTCTCTGTAACAATTTTGATGCCTCACCAGCTGTGTGAGACAGCCAAGGTTTAGTTATCTTAGAACCTAGTTTCAGTTGCAGTATAAGCTGTCAATGAAAAGATGTGTCCAGATGAGGCAGATTTGTTCCTGACAAATATGTTGCAAGCAGCACTGGAGACAACCAATGAAAGAGGAAGAAATGGGTCTGCTACAGACTCACGAAACTGCGAGTGAGGGCCACATCTCTTTAAAGAGGTAAATTTAGAGGTAAATTTGTCTCTCTGCAGCCCTGGGTAGCATCTTGAAGCATTTGGGTGGGTCGACTGCAGACTGCTGGTTCTGTGTCATCACAGCCATACCATATTCATTTCAGCTGTCAGGGTACCAGTACACCAGACCCACTGAATTATGTATCAGACCTTTCCTTTCTGTCATCCCTAGTAAACAGGGTCAGGATAAGGGCAAGTAATCCAGTCCTGACAGAAGAGTATTGAGACAAGGGGGACAGATGCCTGGCACCGTTCCCATCTTTTCCCTTCCTTCTTGCCTGGAACGTAGATGTGATGGCTGGAGCTACTGTAGTCACACTGTAACCCTAAGCAACACAGAACACAATCCCTAGCACATCTCTCAAACACTAAACCAGCACCAGCACCAGCTAGGTCAGGGGTCCTGCTTTTTTAGAGATAATATGCCCCTCTTTTTCTGAACTTCTCTTAACATGGCTTTGAGGTTTTTGTTTGTTTGTTCTGTTTTGTTTTGTTTTTTTTTTTTGTTTGTTTTGTTTTTTTTTTTGAGACAGGCTCTTATTATATATACCTCTAGCTTGCCTGAATCTCATTCTTTAGACTAGGCTGGCCTTGAACTCATAGAGATCCACCTGTCTCTGCCTCCTGAATGTTGGGATAAGAGGCATGCATCACCACATAAAGCCAAGGTTTTCTCTTTTTAGATTTATTTTATTCCTATAGTGCTTTGCCTGCACCAAATGCATGCCTGGTGCCTGAGTGAGCCTCTATGTGGGTGCTGGAAATTGAACCTGGGTCCTTCACAAGAACAATACGAGCTCTTAACCACAGAGCCAACTCTTTAGTCCCAGGCCAAGTTTTAAATGCCTAAATAAAATCCTTTCTGATAATAGACTAGCAGAAGGGTATGAGGAACATGCTTATAAACCCAACAAAGAACTCAGTACAGAATTCAGCAAGAACTGAATGGGAAGGCCAGGATGAAAGCCAAGAAGAGGATGCTGGGAAGGCTAATGAGAAAGGGAGTGGCCTAGAACCAAGGATGGAGCAGAAACACAATGGAAGCAGGCCTCTCATTGTTGGAGAGGAAGCAAATAGCTTTGTGAACAGAGGAGAGTAAGGCACTGGGCACCCTTCAGAATACATGACAACTGGCCAAGGCGACAGGCGTAGAAAAGTTTGCTCACTGGCTGGCCTTTGGGAGTATTAGGGAACCTGGATGTGAGGTGTGTTCCCACCATCCTAATTGGTAAAAGTTCACTGCTGTACTCTCGTGGCTTATTCAAGCACCAGAATCACGGTATGCACCAGGCAAATGGTGTCCCTGGGAGACTTTCATCCTCCCTGGAGACCACAGTCCTCATGTACTATCCAGCTCACTGCTGGGGCACTGAGCATATTCTGTTTGACTTTACAGACTGAAGATCTTGAAATTCCTGTCTGGTTCCTCTAGGCCAGTGGTTCTCAAGCTGTGGGCTGTGACCCCTTTGAGGGTTGTATATCCGATATCCTAAATATCAGACATTTACATTACAATTCACAACAGTAGCAAAATTACAGTTATGAAGTAGCAATGAAAATAATTTTATGGTTGGAGTCACCAAACAAACTGTATTAAAGGGTCATAGCATTAGGAAGGTTGAGAACCATTGCTCTAGCCTTTGCCTCCTGAAGTCTTTTCCCTTCACAGGTTTTTTTCTGTATCTTTGGTTATAATCAACCACAGCTGTGAAAATGATGATGCCAACCAAATCCCATGAACCTCTTAAGAGAGGGATGGTTTTGAGGACCCTGAAATATCATTTTTTTTTTTTCATAAGTGCATCTCCAATGGTCTCCTGGAATCTCCCCACTGGGACACCTAGCTGGTGGGGTTCTTACCTAGACAGCAGGCCTGGGTATCTCCTCTGTCTGCCACCCACAGCTCAGCACCTTGTTCCAGCTGGGAGATTACTGCAGGTTTGGGAAGATCAGGACCTGGAGATAGGAAAAGACACAGGAAGTCAGAAGCTGCTCTGGGAAAAACAAGTCCAGGCTGCAGCTTAGGCTCTTGACTATAGGACATGTGGGCAACTCACAGGCACATGAGGGTTTAGCTCTGTGACAGAAAGAGTAAAAGTGTGTCCTACAGTAAGGGAGGACTCAAGATTAAGTGGAGCTCCATATCAGAAGCCCACAACCATAACTCAGGAAGATTCTATCATTACAGCCAAGGAAGCAGACCTTACCCACAGAGAGAAGGTGCCCAAAGGTCTCCAGCATCACATCACGATACAGAGTCCTCTGGGTAGGGTCCAGCTGTCCCCACTCCTCTTGGGTAAAGTCCACAGCCACATCTCGAAAAGTCACTGGCTCCTGAAACATCACAGGCATTCTTGATTAGTACAACCATCTACCTCTGTAGTAGAGAAAGAACGGAGAAAAAAGGCAGGCAGGTTCTGGGAAAATGTACGCTCTTGAGTGATGTAACTCAGCCATCACTGGGAGCCTACGGGGGCACTATAGGTAGGTGTGGGTTACCATGACAACATGAGAGTACTTGGCAGGATCCACAAAGTCAGCCACAGCTGATCTGACTGATTAGACAGACATGACTAGATATGAAGGTTTGAAGAAATGACTACTACGTTTTTTTTGTTTGTTTTTATTTTGAGTATGTTTATATGTATGCATGAATGTATGGAGGCCAGAGGACAATCTTGGGTGATCACATCTTTGTCCTCCACACATTCTTTTACTGATGACCAGGCCACATCAGCATTATCTGTTATCTGATCACCAGGTCTCATCTCCACCACCACCCCTTTTTTTTTACCCACTATCTTAGCTCAGTTCTCAGTATCTTATCTAATGTTCAAGTGGTTCTTTCCAACCCTACAGAAGTCCTTCTCAACACCTTCCCCCCTTCCATTTTTTTTTTTTTTTTGTGTGTGTGTGATGCACATGTGTGCGGACACACATGAGAGAGAGAGAGAGTATACCTGCATATGTGTATGTGCGGAGGCCCAATGTTGATGTCGAGAATCATCTTCACTTGTTCTACCACCTTATTCACTGAGCAGGGCTTTTCAATCAAACCCAGAGCTCATTGATATGGCAGGTCTCAATAGCCAGTGTGCTCTGGGGATGGATGCCCTGTCTGTTTTCTGAGGAGGGAATTATAGGTGGGCTACCATGCCCACCCAGCATTTATGTGGGTTCTAGGGATGTGAACTGTAGTCCTCACGTTTGTGCATTTTGACCACTGAGTCATCTCCCCAGGCCCCTGAAACACTTTAAAATCTTTTTTTCCTCTTGAAATTTCCCAGGTTTGCCTTAGATATACTCTATAGCCAAAGATGACATGAGGAACTGTATTAAACGGTTGCAGCATTAGGAAGGTTGAGAATCATCGCTCTGAACACTTGAATGGCTCCTTGTCACTTTTCAATAAAGAATGATCAATCCCCCAAAGATATCTAGGTCTTCATGCCTGAAACTTATGAATATTACAGTAGTAACATGAACTCTGCAGATATGATAAAGATGCCAAAACAGGCATATGTCCTGTGTTATCCTGGAGGGCCCTGAATGCAATCATACATTTATGAGATAGGCATGAGATTTGAGAAGTCAGAAGGCAATATGATCACTTAAGCAAGATGCTACATTATTATTTTGATGCTAGACAAAAGGCCACAAGGCAAGGAGTGCCAGGGCTACAGTTTTTATAGCTGGAAAAGCAGATACCCTCTCCTAGAAACTTGGTAGAAGTATGGCTCTGCTCAGTGGTTTTAATTTCTGATGACTTCTCATCTCTAGAATGTGTCTTTTTTTTTTTTTTTTTTTTTTAAGTTTGAGACAGGGTCCAGCCTGGCCTTGAATTTATCATCTCCCTGCCTCACTCTCTCATGTGGTGCAGGATTATAAGCATGCACCACCACACTTGGCCTAGAATGTATATTGCCTTTTGCTATCAAGTTTGTCATGACTTGTTACAGCAGCCCTAAGAAACTAACATACTGGACATCTAAGGTCTCCACTTTTGGTCCTTGCTCTTGTAGAGGCTTGTCTCTAAGATGACTCCTCAGTGACTCCGTGACCTGCATCTAGCCATGTTGCCTTGTATAACTGGTAGGACACTGTAGAAATAGCAGTTCAGAGTCTGAGCTGAGGTCATGATATAGGTTCTACCTCGCCATCTCCTGGAGCACCACTCTAGTAAACCACACACTCACAGTGAGACCTAAGTGCTTCCATAGCGAGGCCTACATGGAGAAACACTGAGTCCTCCTGCCTCCTGTGAATGAATCTTCTTAAGTAATAACTGTTAGGCTGTCATGATGACTGTAACTTTAAGAGCCTAGGGCAAACCCATGAGCTAAGTCACTCTTGGATTCCTACCCATCAGAGACTATGAAGTAATACGTATTTCAGGTCACTGCATTTTGTGTGTGCAAATTGTCACATAGCAACAGAGTAAATACACTTCTTCGCATGTCTTAGTATCTTAATGCACATTCCCTGACAAACTGTGACAAACTAGTGACAAACTGTCACCTGAGACTTGACTAGGGCTGGAGAATCTACCTTGACCATGGCTCATTCATGATAGGCTTCAGTTTTCAGTTCTACACTCTGGTCACCTTTCATGAAAAACTCAGATAACAGGAATCTGAAAATTTGTACACCAAATGTAAATAACACAAATCTCCTCCAAACAAACCAATCACCACCACCCCACCTGCCACCAACATACATGAGCACATAATTCTGAAGTTGCAGAACTTACGTATGAATTGGTTTTGGCTTTTGCTAGGCAGACTACAAAGAAAAGAATAAGCAGCCAGTTTATCTACAACTTTAATGACCAGAATCTTGGCAAACAATGACGGTCCCTACCTATCACAGTTCTCCTATGGCCCCAAAGGATGTGACTCTTGGTAGTTACTCCTGTTTTACTAACTTAGTGTCTATGTCCCACGAAGTTATGCCTTACTTACAAAATAGGGGTTTCGTGGTGTAGAGGTTCCCCTAAAAGTCTGTTGATTCTGCACATTAGGACACGTCCTGAGGACCGTACCCGCAATGTGGGTGCTCTGTAATGCGAGCCAGTCAGCTGTCATCATCGAGAAACATCTCTCAGGATGTGTGGAAGGGTGTTGGCCGGAGCTGGGGTGAAACCCCGAGCGGGGGTCTGTCCGGTCCTGTTCTCTGGGAAATGACCACCGCCCTCCTCTCTCACACCATGGGAGGGAGACAGGAGGCTGGAGCATGCGCACTGGAGACACAGTGGGTCCTGGGTTCGAACCCGGCTGAGCTAACCGTTGTGCTTGTTTCTCCTGTGGAAAAAGCGTCCTGGGTCTGAGGAGGAAGTGGGGCCCATAGTCCACTCCGTCGTTATTGTTACCTGAAGTTGTGTTGTTTCCCGCCGTGAGGCCATCACCACTGTTGCCGCTGGTCCACCCGGAACCAACAGGTCAGCCACAAACGTCCAAGACGACCCCTAATCTAAAGCGCAGACCTGTCGAGAGGACCACCCGACCAGCCTCCCGCTGAACAATGGCGGCAGCGCCTGGGACGCCGAGACTACAACTCCCAGAAGGCCACGCGCTGAGATTCTACATTAAACCAATGGGAGCGCCAGCCCAACGTTGATCATCGGGAAGTTCTGGCCTCTGGTCTAAGGCAGTCGAAACCACCCACAACTTTTGATTAAATATCAGGTCCTCGTACTTGCAGAGCCCAGTTTACATTCTGTTATCTCCGGGTGCGGGCATCACTAGGGTCCCTGGGTCTTGGAAAATTGTCTTCCCACTCTCACATTGAGTTTAGGGCATATTTGCGTCTGCGCAGTTCGGGGAACGCGGGGCAGTTAACTCTGACCTGCTGCTGGAATTAAATGTACAAGAGAGCTCTTTTTATTCTGGGTACTCCGGTTACACTGAAACACGAAACAAAATACATGGAACTTTCTTAATATAAATAGACTTTAAAGGACTAATGACCGAAAAGAGAAAAACGATGCTTCCCAGATTTCGTTTCTTCAGGTAAGATGAACATCAACCATTTAAATAAAGATATACTTGTAATCCTATCATTTAAGTGATGGAGGCAATAAGAATTCAGGGTCAGCTCCACTACACAGCATGTTCAAGACTATAAATCCGAAGGGGTAGGGAAAGAGGGGGTTGGAGAGATGGAGGATGAAAGAAAGAAAACATGTCCCAACCACACACAACACACACACCCCGCACTCACTTTTTGTTTTTTTTTAACAGACTAAGAACTAGGCATAAGTAGAAAGGAAAGCAGGCCAGGCGTGGTGGCACATACTCAGATCTCTTGTGAGTTTATGTAGCCTGGTCTACATAGTGAGTTCCAGGCAACTAGAGCTTCACAGAGAAACCCTATTTCAAAACAAACAAACAAAACCACAACCAACCAACCAAAACAAAAGCAAACAGAGCGGGGGGGGGGGGGGGAAGACAAGGCAAGAAAAGAAAATGGGCACTAGCCGGCTGTGGTGGTGCATGCCTTTAATCCCAGCACTTGGGAGGCACAGGCAGACCGATCTCTTAGTCCAAGGCCAGCCTGGTGTACAGGGTGAGTTCCTGGACAGCCAGGGCTACACAGAGAAACCCTGTATTGAAAAACCAACCAAAAAAACCAAAAACCTAACCCCCCCCCCCCCCCAACCAACAAAAAAAAAAACAAAAAAAAAAACAAAGAAGGAAAGAAAAAAAAAAAAAAAAAGAAAGAAAGGAAGAAGATGATGTAGTGGGAAAAGTCAAAAAATAAACTACACGCTAAGAGACAGATGGAACAGTAGGTCTGCCCTTCCACCACTCCTCCAGTGCTGGATACTGAACATAGGTCTTTATGCAGGAGAGGCTAGTACTCTATTACAGAACTACAGTCTTGGCAAGAGCAGGTCCTTTCATTCTCATACTCCCTTCTCTGTCTACTTTCCTTTGTTCGCTGCTGGCATCTTCTCCACTAGTCTCCACATAAGTGGGACTGACAGTGATAGTAGTGTTATAACTGGTGCTCTGGGTCTGGACTGGGTATTTCCAGGTGTAATGCCAGGTTCACAGGACCCTCAGAGACCACCAGGAGACAACTCAATGCAATAGCAAGAGAGCTTTATTATGTGAGCGATCGAACTCAGGACCCAAGTCTCACTGACGCAGCAGTAGAGAAGTGGGGCCCGGAGCTCTGAGTGAACAGGATTTTTAAAGGGAAAGTCTGTGATCAGGGGGTTTCCATGGCAGCAAGCAGGGGGGCACAGCCTTGGTGTTACAGAATTGGGTAAAGTTTAGCAGGGCAGGGTGACCTTTTCTGAGGCACACAATCACAATGGCTAAGGCATATATAATAATGACTATTTTTCTAAACCATATCTGAAACATTGGGGAGAATTTTCCCACACAATTTCCAACTGATTCCCATTGATTATTGCCAGGGAGTTTGTCTCTATTTTCTATGAAGCATTTATTCTGTATTATTTCCTGAAGGCTGTTGTTAGGAGAGTTAACTTTGTTTTCTGCCAAGTGCACATTCTCTGATATTTCCTGGTACCTGAATTCAGCTCCCAGTCAAGATGGCTCTTAACTCAGGCTAACTATACCCAGGCTAACTTAAACTCTTCACAGGTTCTTGACCTCTTTTCCAAAGAATTGAACATAAGAGTTTACAGGAACAAAAGAAGTAAGATAAAGTTGTTTGGTGCAAAGTTATATTATAGATTGTGTAGGATACACTATTCAAGATTGACAGTGGGTCATGTGAATGAGGATTCTCAATGTCCAGATTATTGTTAAGGGCTTCCTTTTATGGGGCACAAGAGAAAGGGTGCTGGCTACTAAAGATGTAGTTTTGGTAGTTTTCTACTTTGATTGATAGGTTAAGCCATATATTCATTCTTCTCTACTGTGCATGTTCCTTCTATAATGCACGTGATTTTAAACATATCTGTGTCTAATTATGCATAGGCATAAGGTGGTAAATAGGAAGTTCTCCCTAAAAGATTACTAAAAGACACTGTTTTGCCTTCTTGCGCATGCATCCAAAACTAGTTCAGTCCATAATATCTCTTCCATTCTTCATACACAGGCATGTTGAGAATATTCTTGATCTGAAACTGTCTAATTTGAACATTACCAAGGACAGGGAAATGTATCCCATTGTTCAGAGATGGAAGTATGGGTAGGATTCTGAGATTACTAGATGCATTGTTTGGGGATGGGGTGTGTGTATGTGAAACTAGGCTTCCAAGTGTGTTATTACAAGAGGACTATGTATACATAACCTAAAACCAAATGGGGGTGGTGCTCAGGGTACTAAACTATCTCCTATGCTCACCTGCCTCAGTATTAGTAGTGTGGTGGTTTGAATAAAAAATTTACCCATAGTCTCAGACATCTGAATGCTTGGTCTCCAGTTGGGGTCCCCAGTTGCTCTTTGGGGTGCATCCTTGCTGGAGGAAGTATGATCCTGGAGGCTCCAGTGATCTTAGCAACCATCAGAGCCAGCAGTGTAACAACCCACAGGAGGCAAAAAGGTAGTTTTGATAAACAGGACTAAGTAGCTAATGTTGGTTCAAACTTTGGAAGTCTGACTCCAGATAGTTTGTTTTAGGTATATTTCAGCATAGTGCAATTTGGTGAAAATTTCTATGGTGATAATCCTGATTAGGGAGCTTGGGCTTGATGGAGCCACCAAAGTGTAGAGCTTCTATAGCACCAGTAAAATATGATGATTTTTTTAAAATTGGGTAACAGCCACTCAAGATATTGGTGGTTTCTCTCGTGTTGCAGAGGTCACTGTAGAAGCTATTCAAAAAACTTTTCAAAAAGGACCTTATTTTGAATTTGGAACTAAAGGACTTTGAAAAAAATGAGTGAAAAAAAAAATCTAGTAACCCTTCCCCCTTCACCACTGCTTGTGATGTAAAAAAGGAAAACATTAGGTTAAGGATTGTTGATACAAATTTGACAAGGATAGTAAGCCTTTAAGCTCCTAAGGGGACAACAACCAACTCTAGAATAAAGAGGGAAATTGAACCAGACAAACCAAGAATGATTCAGGCTCAAAATCAATATCTAGTCATTCAGCAGTAGAAACAGGATATAATGCAATGGGGTTTAATTCCTTAGCTTCATGGACAAGAGTGTTATCAGAAGATGGACATTCTATGTTGAGCTTATACACTGAAAACCGTTCCTTTAATTTTAGAATGGTGGTGTTCAACCCATGGATTGCAACCTCTTTGGGGATCTCACAGTTGTGAAGTAGCAATGAAATTATTTTATGGTTGGGGTTACAGCATGAGGTTGTGAGGCACTGCTTTAGAGTGCTCTAGATACTGGGGAAGATCATTCAGTTATTAGTCAAGAGCAATGGTCCCACAGTGGCCAATGTCTAGTTGTCCAGCATTACAAGCTATTGGAGGCCAGTAAAATTCTTTAAAAAGTACCAGTGTCTTAAATTGGATTGACAAAGATTCTTTTGGCACTGTGCAGCATTATATTGTCTCAGGACTTTTATATAACTTGTGGGGAAGAGTTATACTACAACAAATGCAACCAGCACTTCCCACTGCTACTAATGAATCATCTGATAATTATAATACAAGAAAGTATAACCCCTCTAATTGGGATTATTGGCCATCCATAGAGTCTTTATAACTACAATGGATCTCTAATGACTTAGTATGGATTGATCATTGGTCCCTTCGTGATGAAAAATTAAAACAGGACCAACTTCTAGTACAGGTACAATTGCAACAAGGCCTGTTAGCATTTGGATAAAAAGAGTGTGTGTGGGGGGATACAGGGCTCAAGGGTACCTGTGGTACCCCTCAGGTACAAGAATAAATCATATGGAAGGGGAGCCAGGAGTTTAGCAAGGCAAAGGAGGTGGGTATACGTCATGTGGTTACAAGTTCAGCATAGGTTGAAAAACATGGTTTTCGGGATACATTAAGCTTAGGAAACAAACTTATTCTTGTAAGGTGTGGAGAAGTAATATTAATATATGACAGTGTGGCTCCTGTTTTGGTTTCACAGGACATACCTGCTATCAGGATAATGTAATTGTAGACAGCTACATTGTGGAAAGAGAAAGTTGACTCTCATGGTTTGTCCTTCCTTCCTCTCCCTTTCTCTCTCTCTCTGTCCCTCTCTCTTACACACACACACACACACACACAAATGTGATTTCAAAATATATTTAAAACATGATCTTGTTAGAGAATAGAGAGTTCTCGAACCCAAATGAGTTCTGCTTCTTTCCTTTTTTCTTTCTTCTTTCTTGTTGGAGGCAGGGTAGAATCATTTTGCTCAGTCCTGCCTGTGACTAGTCTTCTCTTGCATGATAGGTAGCTTCCTTGTTCTCCCATCCTGTGTCAGTGGTGAGATGTTTTAGCTTCTGCTTAGGGATCTCTGTAAGGGTGGGGCTCATAATAGAAGGCTTCCACTGGAAAGGAAAGTTTGACCAGGGAAACAGGAAAACCACAGAACTGCCAGAGATAGAATCTCTGTGTTCTGATTGACAGACAGG